ATTGCTGGGGCCTCTACAAGCCAGGACTTTAAAAGAACTCCCTCTTTAACTATCTATCTCTCATCAAACTTCAATATGCAGTAAAAAATAATTGAGTCCACTTTGCTTAGATCTGAATGCCTTACCAACACTTGACATAGGTAAAGCCACAGATTTTGGTGTGATTCTGTCTCTTACTTTGTTTCATAGTTCCAGATGCGGACAGAGTGGTCGAGAGAACTGGTGGCCACAAGAGGCTTTCGAACGCAGACGGACAATCCGGTGATTGACTTGGAGTGGAAGGACTGCGACAGGAACTCAAAATGCTCCTCCTGAGTGACGAACTTTACATTCACCATAGGGATTTTAAGTGCAAGTTAATTTGAAGTTTAGAACATGAAGGAGAGAGGAAGAGCAGATCAAGACAAGAAGAACAACTCTTTGGAGTCATGTTAGTGATTTTGTGATGTATAAGGGTAGGCAAAGAGCATAGATGAAACCTACATAACTGACTTGAATTTGATATTTAGATTAGAGACATATTTGCACAATGTTAGTTTTGGCAGTGAAAAGTATAATAAAGTATTTTAGTACCATATTTATTAAAAATACAATATCTATGACAGTAAGGAAATGTTGTTTCATGTAACAAAAATATTTTTTGAACAAGGAGGCTGTTTTAAACAAACTAACAGCGATGGTGTAGACACAGTCAGTAAACTGGTAGGTGTGACTGTTATACCTTGTTTGTCTCCACATAGGACAGGCTGAAGCTGTAGAGCTGTCCTCTGTCTGTGCTGATGGCCAAAGTCTCCTCTGCTGGACTGATGCACATTGTGTCGATCAACTGACATTCAGCCGGGGTTAGCTCACTGCAGTTTGGGTCTGGAGGGATCTGAGAGAGAAATATACAAATGATCACTTGTGATACACACAGAGCCTGTTGTATTAGTTGTATTGCTACCTGAATAAACTTCTACCTGTATCTCCCTGCTTCTCCTGTAACCTTCGTCCTCGTTCTTTTCAAAAAGGCAGACAGTGCCTGGCCCGAAAGAGCATGCAAAGCCCTTTGAGTACGACACAATGGCTGTGATGTGAGGCACATCGGGACCTTCATCCACATCATCGTCTTTGATCTTCTTCATATCCTGTTGTCTGTGCAGTGAATTAATACAATTAGAAACAGTGAGATTCTGCAAAGGTTAGGATGCACTACTGGAGCTATGTGGCTTATTGATTTACAACTGAAATTTGCTTAATTGAAAGAGTTTAATGACAATCTGTCAATATACCCATAATCAGTTTGACACCACAGGTTGAATTCATGTTGTCAGAGTTTTCAGCAACATCTCACTCACTATCTTTATGATTGTATACTGTGATTGAGAAAGCTCTGTTATACTTGCACTTATCTGTGAGTGTGATCACATTTCCCATGGTTAGATATATACTGAAAAAACAATTTGTCAGGGGTGTTTGTGGGGTAACATGTAACATGTATCTGGCCTTGTATTAGCAAAGTTGTATTAGTGTATCAAAAGCAGAGGTGGGACTAAGATGTTGTTTCAAAAAGTCTCAAATAAGTGTTAGGTTTTTGCTATGAAGTAACGAGTCGACTCTACAACACCTTGGCTTTTTGAAGTCTAAAAAGTAATCATGCATCCTTAACTAAATATTTATAATATAATATTTATATTTAAATTATTATATTTTTTAATTCTTTTTCTAAAATGAAAAGTCTAAAATGCAATACCTCTGACTCCATGACAGTGATTTGTACTCTTATTACATTTAACACCTGGCCTATGCTACACAATTACAGTAAGCATTCATGTGTAAGAGTCGACTATGTGTGGATTTCATGTAGTCCACCTTCTGACCTATCAGACGGATCCTGCACAGCCTTAGGAGCCACGTCGATCTCTCTTCGCAGCTCGCCAGACTCAAACACCAGCAGCCTGCCTGTGTCTGTCCCAGCAATCACCCGTGTTGCTGACGTCCAGGCATGGCACAGGAAGTCGATGGACTCGACTTTGGGGAAGCTGTTCTGTTTGAGGGCTCCCTCTGCGTAGCGGAAAAGCTTGAGCACGCCAGTTCCGCTCACACAGAGCTGCATGTTGTTGTAAGGGTTGAAGCTGACCTGATGGACATGAACAAATAAAAACACTCTCAGAGCATGGATGTTTGTGTTTACTGGGAGCTGTGGCTGCTATGATTTTAGCATGTATGTCTCACCTGGGAAACAGGATTGGTTGAGCTGCTGGTCTTCACTGTGGCTAGGACTTTCTGTTTTTCCCAAAGCCAGAAGATCAGCATCCAATCCGGGCCACCTGTCTGGCCTATTAGGTACTTGGAGTCAGGCGAGAAAGCCATGCAAACAAACTCTTGAACAAGCATGTCTCCTACAGTGAGGATTTTTCTTTTTCTGCCCTGTTCATGCTGCAGGTCAAACACAGTGATGGTGGCCTTTTCTCCGCTCTCTGATACTGCCAGGTAACGCCGGTTGGCACTGATGGCAAGAGCATGCATGGCCCGGCTTTTCTCTGAACCTGTTAGACACAAAAACAATGCAAATTACATAAATAGGGTAAAAAAAACAGGCTTAAAAACTAGGCAGAAAATAAAATAGTAACTTGTATATTCATTTTATTTTAGGGTAAACTGTGCTTTAATATTTAAGGGGTTAGTCAAATAGAGGCAATACATTAAAAACACAAAAACAGACAAAGGGCTTAAAAGTAATTTAACATACCTGGAATGAATCTCTGACATCTTTGGACGGTGTTGTAGCACACACAGCTGTTTCCACTCGGGAAAACTACAGTTTGCTCATCGACAAAACTCAAGTTGTTACCCACACCTGTCCGTAGGCCGAAGATAAAATGAGACTGTGCGACGACAGAGACCATGTTTCTTTTTTTTTTTTTTTTTACACAATGACTTTTGAATTAATTCAATCAACAAAGGTAATGCCAAAACGTCTTCCACTGATAAACATGCATTTAGTTTTTAAGCCAGAAACGAGCATCACTCTGAGCAAAAACGCGCCTAGGCAGGTGTGCTGCTGGTGTGGTTAGAGTCTGGTCGCTAGGCAACCCAGGAAATCCCGCGAGAACACGACAACTATTTTCAAGTTCCTTCGCCACAGTTCTTGTTACATTTAAATTCAATAATTCAACTTATCTATGTGTTTTCTTTGCACCTAATGTTCAAGTGAAGCCTTAATTATTAATCAATTTATAATAAAGGTTCACTCCTTGTTATGCTTCGTCTCGCAGGATTGCCGTTGCCTAGCGACGTATTTCTAATCACTGATAGGTTAAACTATTTCAGCTAAATCCTGGCAAGAGCTCAGTGGGAAAATGTAAAGTTTGCAGCATAGAAGGTTAATGATTTCAATTTTGAGGTCATTACACATTTATAGAGAGTTTCATCATATTTAATCATCACATTTGTATTTTCATACCACTGGGCCAACAAATAGCCTACCTTCCTAGTAGTCTGAGATTTTCTAAACAAAAGCAATGCACATTGTTAAAATGATCACTGAGGCTAAAGTTAGTAGTTTGTAGCTGGAGTGATTAAAATATAATCAAAATATATCCTCTGCACAAGGCCCTTTTAGCATAAGGAATATTCTTATTTTCATTTCTGACACTTTATGTGAAGTCTGCAGTAGGCTATATTTTTGTGCTTTTGTTGAAAATAAGGTTACCGTTAAGTCCCTTGGATAATGAAGCAATTGACATGGTTTTCTTGTGGGATCAAGGTCTAATTCCGTCTTTTACCTGTGCCTTTGGCTCTATAGGACCCGGTGTTTGGAAGGTGTCTGTAGAATCCAATGGAATTGCAGAAACAAGTAGAAGTAAAATAGTGCTTGTGTGTGATTTGTATTTATACCATGAAAAGGAGTCAAAGGATAGGACATTACATAACTTGTGAACTTATCAAGGTGTTGTAAGAACATATTAAGGTGCAGACAGCAATGTGAATCTCCTACTAATAAATGATAAAATACATCTTTCATAGGATTCAAGTCAATTCAATTCAAATTCAATTAAAGAAATTGAATTGAATTGAATCCTATGAAAGATGTATTTTAGGATAGGATGTATAGGCTACCAGAAAATCCATTGATTACAGTTACATTTGTTATCAATAGAAGTTTTGATTAAAGGTTGTGTGTTATTGATTGTAAAAATATCTATAAATTGAGTGATCAAACAAGTAACTGTTGTATAGGTGTGTCATGTTGCCTTAAGTATTCAGTGTTTCATTTCTTTTCTTAACGCTTGCAGCATGGAAGTGAATCAAGTTATTCAAGTTGACAGCAGGGGGAGTTAAGACATTAAGACATTGCTTTTGCAGTGCTGGCTTAGTTCAGTTTGAACAGCAGGGAGCCCCGTGTGATGTACCGAAGCTACAGTCATTGTTGCACTGGTTCCAGTTAGACTCCTGGTACTGCAGCTATAAGGTGCGTACCATCCCAGTACTCTCTCCAAATATTTCCAGTCTCTCTCAAGCTTACCTGTCAAAGGCAAACAGCCCCACAAAATACTTGCCATTGCTTTTAACAGTCCTAAATCAATAAGAATGATCTAAACTTTGTCAATTAAAGGCTTCAGTGTTATATTACAAATGAGTGTTTTTTTTCATCAAACACCCTCATACCTCCAAATGGTAAAAATAACTTAGTAATTGTCCAATGTCAGGGGAGGCAGCTTTCTGATGCTTGAATATGATATAACTGTTGTGACTTTATGCCGACTGTTTTGGTAAAGACAGAAACAGGTTTATAATTGTCAGTATTTGTGTTTTTGTTGTACTTTTTAAGTTAACCTATATTCTTGGGGTGTATATATAGCAAAAATATGAACCCCTGAATGCAATACTGATGTCTGAACAACCCTGAGGCATCAAGAGGATCGCTTAGTGATCATTTTAAAAAAGGCAGTCCCCCCCAGTTGGTCAAACGTCAGTCGCACTCTGTAGATGACAGATTGGATTTTGAAATGCAGACATGTTTGATGAATCTCCAAGATTGAGATGAATTTATTCAGTTCTATAAGGGATGTTTTTGTCCAGATACATTTCACAGACCAGTTGACATGATATATCAGGGTTAGCTTAAATCAACATATTCACATTCAGAACTCTTCACTTGGGGGAAAAAATCCTTATTGAAACATGAATGAGTTATGTGCAATATAAAAATCTTGAAAAAATATATAAGAAAGAATTTCCTTTATATGTAGAAAGCATTTTGCTGCACTAATTAACTTTCTAAACTAACATCCCTTTATAGATAATAGGGCCTGAGGAATATATATGAGACATATGATACACTATACACAGTAATTAGCTTGGTTTATGACAACTGTTCAACTTTTCAGTGTCCTTTAAAAAGTCTGCTGGTTGGTGATTGGCCCAGCAGGAGGCAGTGATGTTTAGCAGGAGATGATGAGGGTGTTCAGAGACTGCTGACTCTGTGTTCGCTCCAAAGGGCCGCCAGTTGACAGAATCTCACAGGCAGCCAGTTCGTGATAGAGAGCGTTGAGCACCTCCAGAATGTGGGCTTTCCCTGTGCAAAAAGAGAAAACAGATGTGGCCGCTGAGTGAACGAGAATTCAATTCAATTCCATGCCCTGGGTAACCGTAAAATGCCATTATCACATTTCACAGGACTTGTATTGAGTTTACTGGGCGTGTGAGCTCTACTTACCGTGTTGCGGGTCGCTACAAGACTCCAAAGTGCTGAGCAAGATCTTCCCCAGAGACCTGCGTGAGACGTTCTGTACCAACAGAGAGAGAATTCTCAGATGGCGTTCAGGCAATTAACAGGCACTTTAATAGGCAATCTGACTCTTGTTACCACAGAGGCTCTTACATGTCGAACAAGTGAAATTAATTTTCTTTCAGATCTTTAATCAACCCCTGACTGTTAGCGTTACATCACGATGGTATAAACAAAGTCACATTCTAGTCGTGTGACAGGCATGTATGTACAGCATATAAAACAGCTTTTTTAATGGCTTAAAGTGGACTTTTATTTCTAAAAAATAGAAACAAGTTTCTATCTGGTGTCTTGTCCTAGAAACATTCTAGAGGACACTTTCTGTATTCACCAGAACAAAATAATTTCCGTGCAGCGTGGGTGGAATTCTCTAAACTCTGGGCCGAACTGATTTTCATTACTTCAGTTTCTGTGAAGAGTTTCTGTTCACATGAAGAACTGCTTTTGTCAAGATTTTTCATTGTGTTAAAAATCAAAACAATGTGTTTGAGCCTTAACAATAGAAAGCTGTTAAATATAAACACACAGCTTTTATGTTTAAGTGATGTACTGTGACTAACCAGGTCTCTGAGCTGCTGGAGGAGCTGCAGGATGTCCACCAGTTTCTCCTCCACCAGCGACAGACGGACCCTCTCTGTCTCCAGCATCTGCAGCTCCATCTGAAGCAGCTCAGTCTCCTCTGCCTTCTGCTGCAGCTCCTGCAACAGAGAGTCCTTCATCTGGAAGACATAGCACACACCCGAAAAACACAGTTGATACCTATACTAGTATTTTGAAGAAGTCATTTATGAAGTCAGCGTCGTGTGGCCTTAATAGCTTTAAAAGACTCATATGACATCATGGTGGTTCAACCCAGAGAGCTTAAAAACGCTTTTAACTGCCTGTGAGCTGCCTAAGATGATGCATCTTAAAGAGAGGTGAAACATCTTCAACTCTACAACTGCAGTCCTTGTGACGATTTAATTGTAAGCTGACTTTTTTTTCAATGTATATTTGGGCTTTTTGCCTTTATTAGAGATAGGACAGTGGATAGAGTCAGAAATCATGGATAGAGAGAGAGAGAGAGGGAAATGACATGTGAGAAAGGAGCCACAGGTTGGATTCGAACCCGGGCTGCCTGCTTGGAGGACCATGGCCTTCATACATGGGCCACCAGCGCCCCTATGTTTTTTTGTTTTAACTATGAGCAACTCCTTTATCTTCTAATTCCATTGTGGGAAAATTGACACAAAGCACAATTTTTATACAAAGTCTACAAAATCCATGGAAAGGCCCAAACTAACATGAGATTATAAGATTTGAGCTGAGTGATGTTCTTTTGGAGCTTCTTGTGTTGGTCATGGTGAACATGTGTAAGAATGAACGTGTGTATAAGTGCAAAAATTTTACTCAAAGATCTTTTTTTATGATTGGACAAAGGAAAAAGATAAATTTGATGTTGGAAACATACACATTACTTGTTAATGTGATTAATTCAGTGCTGGATTCTGAATTTTTATACTTGATGATTTGTTTAAAATAAGAAAACCCTAAAATGATATCAGCCTTATGCCTAAAAGACCCAACCAGACTTGTTACAAGAGCAACTGGGTATGTCACTCTTCCAGATGTAACATGCTACAACATAGGTCTGCTAAACATGCTAAAACAAAATAAATATCCTCTGTAAATTTATGTCAGATGTCGAGGTTAGAGTCACGTGTTTGGCCCACACTATGGTACTGTGGGTTGGCCTTCCAAAAAAGTTGGAAATCCCAGCAGTGCGCCGTTACGTCAAAGCGTATTGAAGGACAAAGGTCTCACCCCATACATCCTGAACATAAACAAAGCCTCACAGTCAGGACTTTGTTTAGTTTTAACTTTTCCTCTCCGAGTGCTGAGACGTTCTGGGAACACATTACATCACTGTTCCCCTTCTGTCTGTCTTCCTGTGTTGTGAAAAAACTACTCGACTGTAACGGGAGAGCTTTAATTTATGATATTCCTCAATGTTGGGGGAGTGTTTCTGTGGTTGGTTCCAGTGAGAAGCAGCTGCAAACACACCCACCCACACACACACACGCCCTGTGTCTCTGGTGACGTTGCTGGTGGTTTGGTTAAGTTGAAGCTGCAGGATTGAGCCTCTAGCTGTGGTTTAGGCTTTGAAGCCCTCCACGGTCATAACAACCATTACCAGTCCTCTCTAATCCAGTTAAACACCACAAAAACAGCCACAAAATGACTAAAGATGTAAAGCCGGGCAGAAAGATGTCCAGAAAGAACAGTTTTCAGAGGACACTTAAGCGGCCCACCCTGGTGAGAAGGAGGTCAGTGGTGGTTTGTACCTGGTCCATGTCGATCTCTGCCTGGCTCTCCTTCAGCTCGAGCTGTTTATGCAACCTGGTCACTCTCTCCAGAAGCTCCACCACAGCACTGCAGCTCTCCTCGCTCCTCGAGCTCCCGAAATTAGACATCAGCTTCTTGAATGCTTTATCGTCGCACCTGATCAACGACATGTACCACAGGAAAGTCAAACTTAGAGTTTCAGTAGCTGTCACATAATCAAGACTGACACATTTGTTTGAAAATGATGTGGTTCAGCATTGTTTCTTGTGGAAAGTCAAGTCTGAGTTAAAGACATTGACATTGTTTTCCTTTGTCCAATTACTCATTGCAAGATTGAAGCACAATAGGAAAAAATACGATGTTGTTAGTCTTTTGACTTGTTTCAAAATATGACAACTGAAGCTATGTTTTCCAGATGTTTTGTCAAGTTCAATTTAAAAAACTTTTCACAATTTCCCATTGAAGTTGTTGAGCTTGCATACTCGTAGACCAGAAAGTGAAATATATTTTCGCACATAGGTGTGAATGACAATGTGAATGTGGGTGTCAGTATACATGCAGCCCTGTGAGCCCGGATCAAAAGTATTATTTGTGTTCAGTATTACTCATATCAGCATTTAGTTCAATTAACAAGAAATGGAATAAGCTGTAGACATTCAGAGTGATAGACAGAGCAATGATTGTGACCCAATGCAGCTATTTTACTGAGCTCTTTGGACTCTTTTAGCATTTTGCTTAAAGCTTTCATCAACCTTGTTTTTATCACCAAAAGGCAGCTGATTTCATTCAAGTTTAGTGAGTCATCTCCATTTATCTCACCACGTTTACATTTACATACTATATTCACTGACACCTACAAACACTGTACACTACCTGCCCGCATCAAACAACAAACAAGCAAAGCTAGCAGCTGAGCTAGCTGTTGAAGGTTTATTATTATTAGGAATTGGTCAAACAGAGCCTGACTCTGCATGAATCTCATTCTGTCCTGAGCTTGGATGTGTATTAGGCATCGTTTGCTTACATCTTTGCCACGTATGCAAATGAATCAAACTACACTGTGTGTCTGTCAGTGTGTTTTGGTGACCTTCTGCCCCCAGATTTGCCACAAGCCTTATGCAGCTTTTAAAACAATTTGTTATTTATGTATCTGAGTGAGCTTAGTGTTTCACTTTGTTCATTAAAAACATGTGTAAAATGTAAATACTTGAGCTGTAGCTATCCTGTTATGGAGAGCAAGCTGAGCAACACCAAAGTAGTGCCAGGTTTGCCACTAGCTTTCTGTAATCTGGTGCACTGCTTTAACATATAGTGAAGATATGAATGTGCAGGACCTTTCCCCACAGCAGGACAGCCTGGTTAAGATCCTCTTCACTTCAGCCACCTGCCTCTGCTGATCTCCGGTCCATTTGTCCTCCTCCTCGTCAGAAGCTGCCTGGCCCTCCACAGACCGAAAAAGCTGCTCCTCCACTAAATACCACAACACACATATATAGATTATTATCATTATAACAGAGGGCGTTAGAGAGGACTGTACGGTGGAGAAGTCCTAATGGCAAAGTAGAAACTGAAGCTGGTGAATTAAATGAGATGATTGATGTCATTAACTGGTTTACGCTGTTTTTATAGGTCGTATTATCCTTTCTTTTCCTCCAGCTTCTAGATTTGTGTATTTAATAGCTGAATTTTAAGGTGTTTACTGTTCATTCAACAAGGAGACTGCACACTGGGCTCTATGAGGTTACAATGTGTTCATGTTCATATTTTTTTAGATTGATTTAGCATTAAAGGAATTAAAAAGTTTATAAAAGAAGAAAAAAACAGTCATTTTTAGCCGAGTTCTGCAAACCAATGCTTCTAGTTTTGTTGCAGAGCACTTTGGGGGCACTTGTGTTGGCTAACCTACAAAAATGCCACGGAATACCTTTTAACAAATGTTGTGCAAAATCCAAGTGTGTCATGGGCAATTTCAACATCGAGTGGCAAGCCATTCTGGAGAAATGTTGTTGATATACAAATTCCACAAGCCTCACAACTACCGCCTTCCCTCCACCCCTTAAATATATAACACATTTTGCCAGGGGAAACTTCAGGGAAGAATTTCCTAATGCTAGACCGGTGTTTTTCTTTTTCTTGTCAGTGAGTAAGTGGCATAAGGAGAGCAGCTGGCAGAGGACTCGCTACAGGCCCATTTGTTTGTTGTCAATATTACAGAGAGGGTGTGTACGAGGACAGTTAGCACACCATGAGGAGGTACTTACTCAATTTTAGTTAAAGGGTATTGATTAAAATAGCACACCCAACCTTAACAAAAATTAGTAACTTTCTTAAGATGATTGCTTATTCCCAATCAGTAGTTATTCATCGCTCTTATTAACAACAGTACCAAGGTTGTATAAAATAGATTCTTAGGAATTCTGACTTTACTCCCATAAATGTAAAAATCATAAATCGCCTGGTTCTTCTCCTCACCCCTGTACAGTAATGAGACATTAGCACTGTGTGATGTGCTTTCATGACAAACATGTCTTACTCTTATCCGGGGTCGTCACAGCTCGTCCTGTTGGTGAGCAGCGGTCATGTTGGGACCCGAACATTCAAGTATCACAAGGCGGTGTGTATTAGGCACTCTACAACCGCCATGATAATTTTATAGAGGCCTGTGATGTTGTATGCCAAATCTGGGTGGGGTAATTGAAGCCAGACATTGTATCTTTAAGGCATTTTTACTGTAAAGTGGGTCAATGGCAGACAGGCGCTGTTACAGTGCAGTACGCACTGCAAGATGAAAGCTAAAAACACTGGAAAAGAGTGAAATAAAATGAGAGCACAGACGTTTTTAGATGCATTAAAAATCTTTAAGACACCTCTGCTGTTGACAAGATCTGTAGCAGGTTTATTCAATATGTCATGTAGTTCCTTACTGCAAAGACACATTCAAACATCTGTCACTGAAAAAAAGTCTGAGACTGCAGTTTGTGCCGATCAATCGTTCTGTAATGGTTTGAATTAGCTTTCTAGCTTTCTCCTGCTGTCTACTCTTTTGTGTTGGTGGAAATCCGATAGGGGCCTTCGTAAATCACAGAGTAAGTGTTTCCAGATGATGATGTCTTGCCGAAAAAAGAAGAAAATCTAAAAAAGGTTTTCAACAGCCTGACTGTGTTTAAAAAAGAAAAGAAAAAAACTGAGCATTCATGCTTATATCCTCTTGGCACAAGACTGACTATGCTGTAAGACAACTTTCAACTCTACATTTGTGCACTACTTCGGTTTGTGCAAAACTGGCGAGAAATGACTGACTTCAGTGAAAGTCAATAATTGCAGCATGATTTCAGGCAATCAATCAGAGAGTCATGTTTGAGTTAGTGGGGGCCACATTGGAGGAAAGAAGGAGCTAGTTCATGAGGGCCAGCAGCTGCAAGCCAACGTGAGACTGGTGCATAGACGTGAAGATACACAAAACTTTCCTGGTTGCTGTGGAGACGCTGGGACTCTGGAATGAGCTGAGGGCCTTTTCAAATGCAGGCTTTGGTGTGACTAATTGCACTTTAATTGACAGTTGTTTGAGAGAGGCTGAAGCCTGTGTCCAGTGGATACTGTAGCGAGCACACAGCTTCTGGCTCTTGCCTTTGACATGTTTGGAGGTTGAAAAATCAGTCCTGCTTTGTGCCTTGGTACAAAAGAAAATTCCTCAACGCTTTTGATGCTGGTGAAACGTATCCCAAATGTCACATAAAAACTAGTTCTGGTTTAGTTTGACTGTGCATGTAATTCATCACAAAGTCTGACAGCAAAAGAGGTCTGGTTGTATTGCTGATCATGGGAATTCCGACTGAATGAACACAGACACCTGAAAGTGGTCCAGACAGACACCCTGGATATCAGTCAAACTGCGGGATGCTGTAGACATAGACATGATTTGATAAACGTTCCATTAGACATGCATGATAGCTCCTGCCAATGGACCAAATGCAAAACCAGCATGGCTGGGTTTGACCTGCCAAAATGAAAATATCAATTTGTTTGCCTATTCTAAAGAGAAGGAGAAGTTAAAATACACTGCAGACTGTTAAGTGTTATATGAGAGTTCATATTCCCACAAAGAGTGAGTAATGACACATCTTTGATATCTAATACATTTTAGACTTTCACAATAATATTTGTGCATGTTTTTGTTTTTTTAAATATACTTTTAAAACTTAAAACTGCAATATTAAATAGTTTGTTATGTTGGTGAGTCGGGCAATGGACCGGACGTGTCACACTCCATCCTGCATGGATCTCTTTACTCTTTACCTCAACTGTATCAGCGATACTCTACAGACTCACCAAGACCTCTAGAGGACAAAATATGCAATTACATGCACAGTGTACAGCAGGAATGTAAGATGCAAAGCTTTGCATATTTGTAAACACAACGTACATTTACTTAGACAAAATAAAGAAAAAAGACTTTAGTCATTGTGATCAAACCATAGAGAATCATCACCTGATTTAAAAAAAAGGCTAGCTAGCATTTGGCTTAATATTTCCGCCAGATTTGACAGAGGCGTGTGACGTTAATGCTAATGTTCATGCAAGCTGTTTGGTCTCTTTAGCTGCAACACAGCAGCTGATAAAAACCAAAAAAGTTCTGACAAACCAGCTCAACACCATGTAGCCAAGTGAACAGATGAAGCTAGAGACGGGCATCGAAAAAACTCCAAATGTGAAGCAGCAGCTAGCCAAAAGGAGAGTGAACACATTTGACACAACTTCAACTTAATGATAATGTCACAGCACTTCTGCTATAGACAAGCAAGTGTCAATTTCAGCTTAATATGGTGACTACATAACATCAGGGTCGTGGATCTCAATCTACTGAAGTGCTTCCAAAAACTGATTACAGCTGCCTTAAGCATGACGAGGAAAAGAACATATAACATTTTGTACTCCGGGGATTTTTGTTCCGCTAAGAAAGATAAAGAACACGGAAATAAAACAAACTTAATTTTCTCAGGTCAAACATATCAGAGCTGAATCTAGTGGCGTACAACACTAGTGGTTTTCAGGATGTAATTGGAGCGTATAGATAATCAATTTAACGTTTCCTGTTCTGACTCTGTGTTCTCTACTCGTCTTTGATTCCTGTTTCAAAGCGGCTTCTTGGCTCTTTTGTAGCAACAATGAAATTGAATAGGCTTAAAATTAAAATCACATGAAAAGGAAGGGAACATTAGGAAGTGTGTATTAACTCTGTACTGCAGGTGAAAATATAATCCTATGAGTCTTAGATTGGGACATTGTTGGCGCACCAAATTGGAGCCCCTGGGAAGGAAAACGCTCCAGTGATATAGTTAGATATAATTTGATGCGTTTTGTAGCCTTTGTAGGCATAATTATTACTGCATCACTTAGGAACACACACATATTGGAGTGAAGTTTTACATGAGGAGCTCTATTGTGCTTTGTCAGTGGATTTCTAATTAATAGGATCCTGTATTTTGTCCTATTAGTAAAACCCTAAAGCCATTTGTAAGCCTGTGGAGGCCTGTACAGCTGTTTGTTGTTAGAGCCAGGACACCCAGAGTCCTCTCTATGTTTATTACAGTATGGAGCTGAAGTGAAAGCTCCATCAACATGACCCCCCCCTCCCCCCCTTTCCCTCAATGTTTCCCCCTCCTCCCTGAAGAGCAGTTTCCTCTTTCAGGTGTCACTGGTCAATGACAGTCTTCTTGCTCTGCAGAGGTTACAAATGAGGGCACGCTGTAAACCTGAGCTTGAACTTGAAGTTCAGTGCAGATAGGTGCCCTGAGCCATGACAGAGACGGGTGAGGGGGTCATGTTTTCATAGCTGACGGTTATTAATCAAGTCCTCTTGGGAAACACCCGTACAATGAGGTGGTTTCTGGGATACAAATAAAGCAGCTTCAGTGATGTTTAGCAAACGGGGGACTTAATCCAACAGCTAAAGGCGGTAACATTTACAGAGGGCATGTAGGCAAAGAAATCCAAAGTCAAACAAACAAAGGTATTCAAAGAAGAGGGAAATATATACAGAGAGAAGTCCAACAATGGTGGGTGGCATAAGTTTACAATATATTTTGTGTGTGATATATTTCTGCTGTTGTAAGCATACTTCAAAACCGGAGAGACTGAGGACAGGGCATCTGCTCAACGTGGAAATGAGCCCACTTGGGAGTGTACATTTTTTGATGGCTGTTCAAGAAAAACAGTAAGGCGGCAGCAGCAGACTGCCACGGGTCCCACACGTCTCCCGAGTGTGTCCTTTCCGCGTTATTTAAAGGGTAGGAATGCCGTGGCAGCACCTGCTCCACACAATGCCGCAGCTCTTGTGCAGCGGCAGATAAATGGTCTGCTGGACCCTCCTCTCCCCTCTGCTCTCAGGCGCCACGCAGGGAGCATGAAAAGGCTGGGAGATTATGCCTCCCATGGGGCCTGCCTTCAGTGGGCCAGGGGTTAGAGGCATACAGAGAAAAAGTCTGCAGGCGTGCCGATAAAACGAGACCTGAGTTTTAAACTTAAATTTAGGACACATGTGCGTGGGTGAGTTCTCTGGAAATCCATGGACATTAAGTAAAAGTTTCAGATGAGGAAAGTTGAAGTTTTTAACCTCCAAACTGCATCGTTTCTTTGCAACACAAAAGGAAAATGGAATGTTTAATGAAGCCATTCCTCTCCTGTGTGCCTTGAAAAACATGTCTGTCATTTCATGAACAAACAGTTGAGTGTTTGCTTCTTCCTCCAGATGGTAGACTTTCCTCCCCCTCATTTCTTTTTCTTCCTCTCGCTGTGTTTCCTATTGTCTAATCCTTCTGGCCCGCAGAGCTCTATAGGCTACAGTGACTGATTTAGACTCTTTTTACCTTCTGGTGTAAAAAGAAAAACAACAACTTAAAAGTGACACCATTAGACAATTCCAGCCTACAAAGACCTCCCTGTGCAAATCATCCCCTGTTAAAAGGTGCAGCTCCCATCTGCCCCCCTGTTCTAGTGCTCAGTCCAAAGAAATCACAGACAAGTTACGCAACAACACCCACTCATCTTAGGTTTCATACCGATGACCACATTTTATAAACTGACTTCTACTTGGATGTTGATGGAAAGTTGAAAGGGGATTTTGTAGATGAGAAAATTGTACATCCAGATGGAAAAACTAAAAGCGGAAATCAAGACAAAAATCATGTTCCACATTTAAGGAAGAATACATATATGTTTTATGCCAAGAGTTAGATAAGAAATATTTGTTCAGTTGAGCTAGCTTAGCATATAGCAGCAGAAAAATGGAGGTAGCCTGAATAGAGACATGACACTCTAGCGTACATCTCATCAAACAAATACAATATAAGGAGAATACCAGTTAGCTTAAGAGTTCCTGAAGGCAACTTGTATTAGTTTTAGACACTCTGACTTGTTTTTTTCCAGTAATATGATATCTAGCTATGCTAACTGGCCATAGCTTCATAGTTAGTGAAACAACAGTAAGAGTGGTTTCAATCTTAAAAAACTTTTGCTTGCAAAATTACATTTATTTCACAAAATGTTAGGTTGCTCGCATCCTTGAACTTCATCTTCATCATCAGTGTGTTCAAGTGGAATCCACAGTAAAGAAGCGATGCCTGCTCCCAAACAACCACCAGCCCTGCAGCCCATTATCTCTTGGGATCCTGAAACATCTTAGTTAATCTCGTTTCTCCTCACAGCAGTTTAGAATATGCCTCAAGGCTCAAGTGACAGTCGATCGTTTCATCAGGCCTCTTGACATGCTTCTCTAAACCCATTACATATGACCCGAGACATCTGACACTGGGACAGCTGGATGCAAGAAAAATTACTTAATTTTGAGGAAATTCAGAATGATAAAAGTGTATATTATCAAGATTTGTCTTCAATTATAGGGGGAAAAAAACACAGTTTCTCAGTCAGATATTAAAAACCACCTATACAGTTCTCTCAAGCCATGTCCTTGGATAAGAAGTAACCAAGCAAGCATTTTGGATTTAAGGGGGGGATATTCATGGAGCTTGGTTGCTAAGATCTATAAGAACGGGGAGCCTGTGTGGTATTGTTCGTTGGGGAGGAGAGCGAAAGAAGTGAGCAGAGATTGATGAGAACGGTCAGTCTGTTGAGGTCCTCACTCAATGGAGCTTTCTCTTGACAAGTCAGGGCCTTTGTGGTGTTGAATTATTTGTCATTAGGGTATCAATGGAAGGGCAGTGAAAAGACTTTGGAACGCAGTCCGCATAGATTAGTGGAGTTTTGGGTTAAAGAAGGGGTATTGTGCTTATGTGATTTGTTATTTAGAATCACCTTAAGGCAGGTAGCCATCAATCATATGTGTCTGGTTGTGTCTGACTGTGTTTGAGAGTTCATAATAACAGCATTAGGTAGAGCTTACCACCATTTAGAGACATCAGTTACGTAAGAAAGCCAGACCTGCAGACAATGATTACATGGTTGGAGTAGGGACAACAGACACAAAGATAAACATTAAACCAACAGCTTTGTACTTAAAAAGTCCAATTACACCCTTACTTCCACCAAAATGAATAGTTCCCAACAGTAGCGGAGCTCAGGCGAAACCAACCTGCCACACACGATGCCTGTTAAATAAAGTAAATCACAACAAGGCTGAAAATTACAATAGCAGACCACATCAAGCCATCGTGAGCAGCATGGCAGATTGTTTCCAGGCATGATGCCAGAACTAAACAACGTTCATTCATTTTATTGTACGACAAATTATAATTCATTATGGTTTATTCAAGCCAAAAAAAGCCCTCTTAATTCAATAACCAGCCAAAACAAGCCCTCACTCTCATGACATGATGAACAGCCAGACACTTGCTTTGCTCAGGGTTTGACAGCCTGTTGGAGCAAATGAAGAGGACATAAAAGCCTCTTTGTGTGTATATACTCTCTCTCTGACTTTAGGGCAGTATTTCTTTTGATACATCATTAATGTGAAAAATATCTGTAGTTCACTACAAATTAATTTTCGAAGAACTAAAGTCAATCACAAACATTTACCACCGTCTTCTTTTGCACTGCCTTTGGTGTGTCAGTATTCTTCAAACAAACTAGTTTTCAGAGTTAGTGAACAATATGGGACAGTTAAGTAATGATGTGAACAACCACAGCGCCATGCTAAAAATGTATAGTAAAGCAATAAAATGTGAAATAATTTACTAAATAATTTAAATTCTACTCATTGTGCAAAAATATAATTCCCTCTTGGGTTTTTGAGGAGCTTTTTAAAATTATTTTTATTTCAAAATGTCATTCCCCACCCCCCACCTTCTGCTTTCTTCCACTTTTTATTTGGTAATGCCACTTTTTATGGTAGCGGTGTTGTCTCTTAAGCTCTAAAGCTACAAGCTAAAGCTAAAGTACCACCAGAAGAATAGCGCATTAGCACTTTAAACAAAAGTCATAATGCATTGAGTTTAACTTTATTGAGTGAAAGTGGTGGAAGTTGAAAATGATTTTGGAAAAATTACAAAAAACATCCAACGCATCCCAAATTCAGCTATTAAAAAAGAGGTTTTAAGTGTTATTTAAGAGTTAGCCTGTGACTTTGTGGCATAAGCTGTAATGAAGTGTCGCTCTCATCTCAGGTTTACTCAAACATGTCTGGTGCTTTTTTTCTCGCAGGTGGAGAGTAAGTGAGCAAACAAGGCTTAGTGGGAAGGATGATGTATTGGGATGTGATTTTCTTACACAGCCTCTTTTCAACAAGACGTTACTTAAGTGGTTGATTGTTGATGTTCAGAAATAACAACAATCAAGGTAACAAATTAAAGGTACCGTGTGTGGTTTTTGACCACAAGTTATGTTATGGAGCAATGCTTTCATGGGTGGTATTCCAATCTTTTTTTCATCAGGCCACCTATGTTCTGCTGATCAAAAACTAAAGACACTTCAACCAAACATAACTTGTGTTACTAGATAACTCCACAGGGAACATTAAGAGACCACATAACAAAGTAGTGGCTACAACCCATAAAACAAAAGTCCTAACAACAGGAAAATGTCTAACATGAACACAATGTCAATCAGAATTAAGTGAAACAATGTGTACATTTTCCGGGATTGTCAGGTTATTGTAGAATAAAAACTGCGTCATTTTATATGACATGACTTCGCAGAGTACCCAGTTTCTCTTGGCAGCGCTAAGTTGCTAAATTCCCGGCTGGTTTGTTAAACAAATGCTTCAACATTAATGTAGAAATGTTTTTCGCTTAATACAACACAGTGTTGCCAGTGTTTTTACCTGTAGTATAGGAGCTCTGATTCCAGCTGGATGATGTGTCTCTGCAGGGCTGGAACATGACTGGCCTTGGCCTCCAGTTCCTTCACCTTACTCAGGCCACTGAGCAGCGCCTGCCTGGCCTCCTCCACCTTCCTCCTCATGCCCACCTGCTCCCTCTTCAAGGACTGGTTGCAGTCCTCCAGAGCAGCCACAGTCTCTTTAGAGCTCCACAGTTCCTTCTCCAGTCTCTGACTGCACAGCATTGCCTCCTCTACCTGTCTGTCTCTGGAATTCTGCAGAAGCTCTATCTCTTGGATAAGGTTCTGCAGACTCGTCAGGTTACTGTAGGTGCTGCTTTTCAGGTTTGTGTTGCTCATACTTTTCGGGGAAGATTGTTTCTGCTGCGCAACAAAACAGCCCTCCTCTGGTTTGTGTTTGGAGTGGCTTTTCCATAGTCCTACCTGGACAGAAATGAAACAGGTAACATGATGCAGGGGATCAAATTAAGATATTCCCTAAAACCAATATTGCATCTGCTTGGTTACATTATAGAAATTTGTATTTTACAGTTTTTCTTTGTCTTAAAGTTTTTTTTTTACTAAAAACTTCAGCTTTAAGTCATTTTCCCAAAAATATTGCATTGTTCACTTCTATTGTAATAGGCTTTTAAATCTGCAGTTATACATGTTCATACAATTATTGAATAACTTGCATGAGTTGCACAAAGTGCTCAATAAGACAGGATGATGGTTTATAAGTTACAACTAATGCTTTATTGCTTGATAAATAATAATGACTTGATGCCTGATGTCTGAGTAAAAAGCCAAGAGCATAATTCGGGTTGTCGGAACATGACTGAGAAAGATAACAAGCTTTGAACCTGCAGATGACAATTATTCCATAACATGTTCTTGCAAAGTCCTACAAACCGGATGTTGTCCTCTGAAAAGACTCTATGTTGTAATTGGCGCTTTACTTAATCTAAAATAAGTCATTTACAAATGTTTTGCACATCAGTTGTAATCATTGGTTTGGCAGGATGTGGAAAATCCCTCGCTGGTGTTTACCTCCCTTCAGAATGACAGTTTGACTTTGTGTGTTCAGTTACCTCTTGAGTTCAACACTCCTCCAGTGGACTGTTGAACTTACCTGTTACCTTGTTTCATGAAAGGCATCCAAATGAAGAAAGAAAAACATCACATTTCATAAACATTTAAAATAATGTATTATCATAAAACCTGGGCATCACTTATGGTGAGAGAAAGGAGACTGTCCAACTTGTAAGGTATAACTATATTACCAATGTATGCACTGTTGCATTTAAAGTAAATCATAAGGCATTTATAACCACTTTAAAGAACTTCATTTTGGAACGCCCCTACTAACACACACACACACACACACACACACCCACGCAGGCAAGCACGCACACACACGCACACAAGGTAAGGAAGGGGGTCCTATGCAGAATGTGTAGCCTTACTATATTTTGTTCTTTTAGGGGATGAATATATCAGGATAACATTCGTATAACATGTGGACATCAAATGCAACACTAGAGCAGGGATTTAAATGTTGAATCTACACTTCACTCTTACCTGCAGAGCTAAACAGCGGGCATCACTGCTCTGAAGTGCAGCTCGCATATCCTCTATCAGCTCCCTCAAACTTGCATTCTCGTCTTCCAGTTTGGCTACCCGGTCCTCTGCTTCCTCCAGTGCCACTATCTCCTCATAGCACTCTTTGGAGCAGGATCCAAGTCTGCAGCCAGAGGCGTGCCGTCCCTCCGCGGAGGAACACGAGCCCTCGCTCACACCCACAGACAGGAGCTTCTCTCGCCTCCTCAGAGGGCTTCTCAGGCGGATCTGAGTCTCTATGTGCTCGCTGTCTTTCCCGACCAGCAGCCGACCGTTCTCATACTGACAGCCCGCCTTGGTGCTGAAGTGTCCGCACAGTTTGGCGTGGAAGTGTCTAAAGGTGAGCTCGCTGGGTAAATTGTCCGGCACCCCGGCGCATTCTGTATCCTCCGCGTCTTTGTTCAGTCCCAAAACTTTACACAAGATGTTAAAATCCTCCACAGGGATTTTCCCACCTCCTTGATAGTCGATGTGATGGAAAATCTCCTGTAGGTATTGATCCAGTCCGGTTGCCAAAACAATGATTTCATTCTCCACTCCCCGGTCCAGTCCGTAATGGTAAGCCAGAGTGCTGACTATCCATTGTGTCCTGCGCGCTGGTCGGCTGTATGGATCAATGGAGTCTTTTGCGTCCATCATTTCTGCAGAGCAACATCATACTTCCACAAACTTTGCCCGGTTACTTTTTGTTTCTTCTATAACGTCCAATGTGTTTCGTGTTCATCCCCTCACTAGAAACCTGGAGCAGACTGGCGCAGCAGAAACGAGGCGTGTGTTAAAACATAGCTCAGATTTGAATTAAGCTCTGCCCCCCAAATCTAAAAGCAGGGGTCCCAACCAGGAACCTGCAACGTACACATAGCCTACTATAACGACCTCTTACTGCCGTTTGCAGGAGTGCGGCCTAATTGCTACCAGGTGTGTAAACTTTTGTCATTCACTGGGGTTAGACCTTGTTAAGATGTAAGATACCCAAGAGACTAATAGCCAATATGCTGTGGCGCAGAGGTGCACCGTCCCTTTTCAACAGAAGCATTTTTTACTACATAGGCTAGTCTTGTGTTATTATTATTATTATTATTATTTTTTTTGCACTATTTGCCCCTTAATTTGTCCCTAGCATGAGCTGCTTTGTTTTAAGTTAAATCTTCGAAACTTCTGAATAAGATGTCTCTACACTCAAGGCTCAATCAATTATTTTCCCCAAACACAGGCCTATAGGCAATTAGTCTACAACTAAGCCTAATCCATACTTCCATTAAAACGATGTCTCCTCATTAGCATAATTAGTGCTGCCTTCAAGTCCACTTCGTACATTCCACGTCCAAATGGACCCAGTAACGATCCTTCAACTAGCCTACACTATAACACCGAATCTAATTGACAAAACAAATTTGTCGACAACAATAATGTTATCTGCAACTGGCATAATCGAGTCTATAGCGGGGCTTACTTTCTTATTACATATAAAAGTATAAAAAAAAGATAGGCTTAATAAACCCAAGGTTCAAACTAGGTCTTTACTGCATATATGCCTAGTTTGGTTAATCATAGACTGTGAATATTATTCAGACTTTTTTCTTTCTTGATGTGGCATACAAATCTTCGTGAATTGAATGCAGGAAGGACACAAACTCAGACTATAGTTTTCTTTCCGTTGAGGTCGGAGGAATTCCGACAGTCTCAGAAGCACGTGAGGGCAACTAACACGCCACTTCACCACAATGGTTGTCATGGTGACGCGTGGGCTCTCACTGAAATCAAATAGTTGGACAGTTGAAGTTTGTGTGACAGCCTGGGCCCACTTCACGTCTTCACTACGACAGAAAACCTTTTCTTTCTTTTTTTTAGTTCGCTGAGGTATCATCTTTAGACTTTTGTGTCAGTAGAGTTATAGAAAGTGTAGGAGTATGTTTGTGTGTGTCACATAGTCTAACCAACGGAAGCTGAGGTGAGTGCACAAGAATACAAAATAAACAAAATTATTAATATCGTATATTAATAGTTAATTTTAAACGTATGGATTGATTGTTGTGTAAAAACTTTAAAAACAGCGTCATGCACTCTTAGAAATTCCCCCTGTTAAAAAACGGTAAACAACTGGCAGTAGGGTTGCCAGGAAGTTACTGTAAAATTAACGGTACATTGCTGTTGCTGAAATGTACAGTTTTCTACCGTTTTTGTAAATACAGCAAAAAGCTGTGATTTTAAACCTTAACAGGAAAATACTGTTGAAAGAATTAACTGTTTTTTTTGCAGATTTTTACTGTGATTTGTAAATACTACACCTAGCTATAGATTAATTTCCTTCTACCAAAATGGACACAATATATTTATTTTCTAAACCTAGTGATTTGATAAGTGATTCCTTGCATGTCAGATTATATAAAACACCATGTTTTAAAATAATAAATAAACAGTGCCTTTAAAATTGCAACTTAAAATGTTAAGACAAATGATAAAAATTCAAACTGTCATCTCAAATCACATCTGTCTTTATTGAAACTGTAACAAAAACAAAGAAGATACACTTTAAGAACATGAAGGTTAAATAGGCAAAAAATCTAGCACAAACATTTACATTAAGACATTTAGCAAAGGCCATTTCCAATGTATAGTACATAAAATAGTTTTGGTGGATACATTTTAAACAGAGAAGTGAAAAAAAAATCTGTTATAGTTTCATATAACAGAATAAATCACCTGTCCTCTGAGGGAAATTGGGTCCCTGGACCTGCACCTCCCTCTGATTTCTCCTTCCAGACTGAAACTGCGACATAACAAGGATTCTGTAAAGGGAAAAAAACAACATTAGAACGAAAGCAGCTCCAGCTGAACAGTGAACATTATCATATGGACAATCCTTTCTGAATATTCTCCATATCACTTCATTGTTTCATTTATAATCAAATTAGGGTAGGCTACTTGATTCCTATTTAATTATTATCACTTGAAATATAATTTAAGCAACCTGAAAAAAAAAATCAAACCCCAAAGTAAATTATTCCACTTTAAATAACTAATTTGTCACATCTCAAATCTGACAATGTATGTATGAACTCATACATACATTTTACTCTGATAACATTATAAAAAAAACTGTGTTTAGCGTGTATCTAGTTAAACTACATGTTTTAAAACGTTTTTTTTGGTTTCTTATAAGCTTGTATTAACCTAACCTTTGTGATTAACTCTCTGCTGATTGTTTGCTCTTATTACAGACTTGATGTGAACTGTAAACACCAACATCCTCCTGCTGTTATTTCTCATTTACACTTTTCACAGTGTTTTTCATGGAAAGTATTACCATGGAATCAAAGACCATGTCAGAGACGGGTCGTTGTAATTCAGACTCTGGTGAAGACGGAAAAGAAGATGCCATTGTCCTTGGTACTGATATGTTGTCAACAGAGCATGGTTTGGAAAATAGGCCAGGTTCTACAGAGGATATCCCAACACACACAGATGACAGCTCCTATTACATCACATGGACAGTTTACATTGCAATAGCTGTCCCAAGAGGTACGTTTGCTGCATAGAATGTGTAAACAGTTTTCATTAGTTTGTAAAAAAAAAAAAAAAAATCATCACACCTAAAGTAGGATGAGTAAGAATGTCAGCCTTTGTGTACTTAAATACAAAATAAAATTCTAATTTTTTCAAATCAAAGGAAAATCTTCAATTCATCCTTGATCCTTGATGATTTAATTTTTCTTCATTGTTAGGGGAAGCGAGGGCTAATAAATCTAATGAAGACTCATCTGTTGCCTTGAAAACCCATAGAGCTCAGAGCCTGTATCATATTGAATACAAGCTGTTGCCAGGTGATACAGAGACAGTGAAAGTGGATCTAGTTGTGTTTGGACCAGTGGCAAAAATGTACAAAGAGGATGAGGTCAAGGTAACCATGACCTGGTGAATGACTGTGTCTGTGTGTTTCACCTTAATCAACATTTAATGAATATCCTGAATGAACAACGATAAAGTGCCTACACTGACTAGAGTTACATTTAATTATGGATGATGATGTCTTCAACAAAACATTGATGATAAGAAAAAAGAACAGCAGATACTTTTAATGCAAACAATAACTGATTGACTTTTGTTTCAGATTCTGAGGACATGGTATGAGGGGGATCAGATATGGATTGGTTTGACACAGAAAGTTGATGTCAGGGTTAACAGGGATATGCTGATAAGTCTACTATCTCATAAGATAAAGCTCCAGGTATGGAACAACAAGGGCAAATTGTCCAGTCAAGCCCGCTATGACAGACTGAAAGCCCTCAGACTGCCACAGGATACGTCTGAAGATGCAACAGACAGTAAGCTTTAATCTCAGTTTGCCCCAACATGACCCAAAAATTATACATATTGTGTTTACTGTGTTAAATGGAATGATTCATTCAGTCCAAGGTGGAATCAAGTCTATGGTTAACATGATGAGAAGGTCATGTCAGAGGAAACCAAACGTGTCCAAAAAAACAAAAGATATCTTGTTAGGTTGCCATTCATCTGTGCAAGAACAAGGTAAATCCACCTGCTAGTAAACATTTTAATGTTCTTTGCTGTAAACTATGATGTAAAATAATGTTGCACCTCTCTTGGAATCAGGTTTTAAAAAATCCACCGTTGATACTTCTGACGTTGAGAGTATCAACAAAATTGGAACGGCCTCCGCTGAAATAAGTCCCATTAATTTTTTGGCAGGTGAGTCAGACTTTTATCAACAATAAGCTCCTAAAACAGTGTTTTCCAGACTTTAAAACAAGCAATGACTGACCAGATCGACCACAAGGTCACTTTTTTCTATTGTTTTTTGAGAGGTCTACAGATATTTACGTCATCCAGCAATTATATTTAAAAAGGACCAAGATGAAAGGAAAGAATGAAAAACTGAACCTCACTATAGTTGTATTAGAAATGTTTTTCTCATTGTCTATTTGTTCATCACTTTGTAACCCCTCAGATTTATTTTGTGGGGCCCAATGTTCAAGTTGCCGAATAACTGCTCACTCCTACTATATTATCATGTCTTCTTGGGTTCGAGAAACAATGACATTTTTCGTCATAGGACATAATTCAATCAATCAATCAATCAATCAATCTTTATTCGTATAGCGCCAATTCATAACAAATGTAATCTCAAAACAGGTAAAAAACCATACTCATTGCTTTATGACAAAGACCCACCGTTAATCCATCATGAGCGTAGCTCTTAGCAACATTTAGCAAGTTATAGTAATTGCTTCATAAGCATCAATATATATATAAAAAATGGAATTAGCTTAAAATAGCTGAAATTTAATATTGGAAACAAAGTCTATTCTACAATCATGCTCAAGGAAAAGTACCAACATGACCAAAATCTGATGGATAATCCCCTGTAAATATCTCATTACTGTTGAGATATTTTAGTCTGGAACATATAGTTGAACAACATAAAAACAGATTGCATTTTTTTTATTATAAAATTGATAAATCATAAAAATAAATAAATAAATATTTTTTTTTTGTGTTTACTAGGTGGGACTTCATTGACTGATCAATTCTCAGTCTGTTCAGCTGGTGTATTTGAGGTCATGTGCAATATCTCTTTGGACAGACCTTTAATATCTCAAGAGCTGAGGGCTGAACTCAATCCGTTGGTAATCACAATTTTGTCAGCCAGTTCAATGCCGTCATCTCCAGTCCCTTTGCACACCCTGCAGGTATGCCTTACACTCAATGTTTACAGAATTTACAGCATCACAACTCAAACATTACTTGTTCAGGACTTTTGTGTTGATTACATTGTCTCCTCACTTACTATTAAGAACAATTGTGAAGTCTTAAGTGTCAATAATATTTGATTTGCTGCCTTGGACATTTAGAAAGGAGTTATGACTTGACATAATTATAATTTTTCATATTCTCAGGAACAATGTTTGCCTGTATATTGTCAGTACAAGTTCCATAACTTGACTATGCACAGAACTCATCATCATGAGCACAGAGCCAAGATCTACTTCAGAGATGTGAATGTTATCCTGACTGGCTTGATGAGTCCCAAAGAACTCATTTTGTTCCTTTCTGGTCCACCTCTTGAGATAGAGGTTCATGATCGCGACAGAAAGTTGGAAGAACAACCAAAACCTCCAGCAAAGTCTGGCATGGGGTCAGATGATGACATCCTGTGTGGTATGGCACAATCAAAACAGACGACAGCAAATATGAACTCCTATGGAATTGCAAGCCTGAACCTCTGTGAGCTGCTATGTGGAAAGAAAAGCCTTAACGTGCATTTGCCAATAAAACGCTGCCCACCCACTCCACTGCAGCACTGGGAGCAAAGTGCACGTAGCAGGACTATGTCAGATACATTAGCACACAGTGAGCCCATGCCACAAGGACATTATTTGGAGGCCAATTCCACACTTGAAGTCAAGGTTGAGCTAGCTTGTCCACTAAATAATAAAAATGACAGTTGTGAATTAGACCCCTTTTACAGACCATTTGGGCGCATCATCTACCTTTTTGATTACAACAACTTGTCTGTGATGACCAAGCTGAGGTCAGATATCCTCAGAATCAATGCATCAGCCTTCCATCTGGGCTCACGGGAAAATATAGAGAAAGCCCTATCAAATTACATAATGAATTTGAAGCTTGATGAGAGCCAGGATCTGGACTTCGTTACCGGATTCCATGTGGTAGATAAGAGGACGCACATCTTTGTTCTTGAAGGGCTGAAACATAAAGCAGTGAAGAGACTTTGGGAGGCTGTTCCGATGAAGTAAGCACAAGAACTAAATCTTGCCAAACAGCCAACTAACAGTTTTCAGCTGTTCTGTCTACTTAAATTGAGTGTTTAAATTCCAATGACAATCCTAAAAACAGTGTGATGTGTTGCAGGCTAAGTGGGAGTGTGGAGGAGCATGTGATAGTCCACTACAACTCAGACATGGGTTTCTTCAAGCGCATCTATGACTCATTAGATGTGAGCCTGAGTCCCATTCATTTATGTGAGTCTTTAGAGACCATCATGAGACAGCCAGTGATCTACATAAGAGGCAAAGTCTCCCCAGGCTGCTTCCAAGCTTTGACAAGGTACAAGGTCAGATAGTTATACTGCAATGTTTTACCCCATTTACGACAAATCAAAAATACTTTAAGTCACAAACACACAAACGCTAGAGTGGTTTTTGGTCACTTTGTAGAAGTGGAACACGCTGTAAGCACAACACTGACATTATACCACTGTGTTTACACAGTAAGCACAATTGAGCATGTTTAACACTAATTCATGACTATGATTTATCAACATCATCTATTTTATTTCTGCTGGCTCCATGGCTGCCAAATATTAACCGTGTTGAACAGCTAGTCACTACCTTTGTTTATTTGTTATTAAGTGAAGTCCTACTTAGTGTTTAAAACTCTCTCAAGTTGTGAACTCCAAAAAAAATTACAATCCCATCTACATTGTATAAAATGTTTTAAAGATGAAGAACCTGTGTTACTTTAAATGAAGAATAACACATTTTTTCTCAAGCAGACAATGAACAAATGCATAACAAATACCCTGAATGCCCCTATTATAGATAAAGCATGATAGTGTGCCTTTAAGAGTGCCGTTCAGTGGAGAGAGTGTCGTAGAGTGTCCTCTAGCATGTCTGGAGAAAACATTATTAGCTGTCCTTAGGGGTGTCCACCTGATTTGTAGTTCAGTGGCCAAGACTAGAAGTGATGTTCCTTTTATCTCATGCGTTATTATTATTTGAATGGACAGCCATGTTTTGTTATGAAATCTAATATAAATTGCATAGTAGACTTCATCAAGATGAGTTATGTCATTCTGAGAATTCTTTGTATTTTTTCTAGGTTGAGCCAGATTTGTCAAATGAGCCAACTTAAAGATGTGGTGCAGTACAACCTCTTCCCCACAGCTGACATGATTCTCAGCATGAGCAAAGAATTTGGGATACACTATGAGCAGTGGGAGCAAAAAGCAACTGCTAAACCTGAGGTTGACCTTCCCTCTCTACCTGTCCGGATGAAAAGACATTCGTCGCTCGACATGCACAACAGCGAGTACATGAAATGGAGGCACAGGCAAAACCAGTTCAAGGACTTCATTCAGGTCTGTAGACTTGAATCACTCTGAGGTTTATTCAAACTTATTAAGAGAGCCATTTATATATTATGTTATTTTCCAGGACAATATTAAAAAGGTGCATGAGGAAAGTAAGCGGTTGCAGAAGCCTGAAGCTGCAGTATTAAGGATGGACCAGTGCACAAACAGACCAGCACACAACTACAGCATCCAGACCCTCAACTCAAAGGAGCAAGCCATGGAGATGATCCGCAAAGAGATGGCCAAGGTTCGATCATTTGGTTGTATAATATTTACAACAGCTGGTCGATAGAAGAAGTACATACTGCATAGAGTGCATCTTAATATATCGGGATGTAGCATGGTGGCTTGATTATAGTTGCATGTTTGTGCAGTCTTCTTGTTTTTTTGAGATCACAAGTAACTTTATATGATACATTCATTAGGCCTCAACTTGTACTCAACAGGACATCAGATCAACCAGCAACTAACTGAAAAGAGAATCAGCTGCAAACATCAGGGTGGTTATGAACTGTAACACATTCAGCTACTGATATATACAGTGCATATCAATGCTATGAAGCACTTGGATAGCACATAAAAAGTGGATTAACTATTTTAAGCGATTAGGAATCTGCAAATGGAACTGGAAAAAAAAAATTCTAAACAGCAAAGTGAATCAGAATTTACTCCTGTAGTTTTTTTCAGCTAGTCAAGTTTTACAACCTCAGCTATTTGTGTGAACATAATGGAGAGTGTGGCGGGGAACTTTACTCTCAGGAGTTTGTGAAGACCTAAAAAGAGCTAAAAGGACGGTGAATAACAAGAAACTGCATCTGCTGGCATTAGAATACAAAATGATTAAACTAAAAGACTGAGAAAATGGAGACCGAAACTTATCAGAACGCCACGAATTTCAGTTTAAACCTCAAGTTTTTCTAACACCCCTTCACTTCTACCTGCTCCTCTCAATACCCCTCCCCCTCCCTTGAGTGCAAATTGCACTCAGGTGTGCAGCAGGTAGAGCGAGGATGGAGAATCAGAGAGAGAGAACTGAGTTGCATGTAACAGATTAGCTGTTTTCTTAGGTAAGCCATCAAATCTTGTTTCATTTCTGCTTAGTGGCCAATATCTCCTGCTCCTGCTTTTGACTGCATTATCCCACAATGAAAAGGTAACATGTACAAACACTAATTATCAATTTGTAATCCTGTAACGGTGGCCAAATAATTAGAAAACCTTTATACATAAATCCACAAAAAGAAAAAACTTCAAAGATGAAACTGGTTTTATTTGTTAGGCTATCTTTTTGCAGACACTGAAAGAATGTGTCCAGAGAAATGACCATAAATGTAATGTGCTTTTTTCTGATGAAAACTTCAGGTGCCAGGGCGGAGGTTCACTTACAGTCAGCAGTATCACAGTGCCACAGTGGAGCCAGGAAGCATGACCACTAAACCTGACTCCAGCTCCACTGCCACCGCTAAAGTTTGGGTCTCGACTACGAGCAGGCCCACAGAGCACCCTAGACATCTAGATGAGGCTCGAGTGGAGGAGCTGAGGAAGGTGAGATCTTCATCTATCAGTAGTGTGGGTTTTCACAGGAAAAGAAACCTTTAGTTTATGGGCATCCCTTGAATCTTGGCACATGGATAACATTTTAATGGCTGTCTACATAGTCAGTAATGTTAACCTTACTGTTCACTTTGGAGCAGTCCAGTTAACTGTTGAGGGTTCAAGTTCTAATATTACCGTTTACTGTGCTTCTAGCCTTGGAGAGAGAACATCCTACATGCCAACATATTGAAGCCCACACTTTCACGAGACAGATTGGCCTGGAACCAGCGCCATGAGGACTTTCAGCTCTATAGCAAACCTGCCCCCTTTTTCAGCCCAATTCCTGCCTCCATATACCTGACTGGTAGGCTACACACTTTAACACTACACCATAAAACACTAGAGACTGCTAAACGTGGTGCAGCTTTTATGTATATGGTTATTTGGTCTTATAATGATTTTTCTTTTTCTTTTCCCATGAGTAACTGGCCAAATGTTAACACCCACATGTCAGACAGATATATATGTCCAGTATACCCATCAAAGCACACAGGTGTGAATGTCAGCATTTGGTGTCAGAATCAGAAGAGAAGAGTTCTTTAAACTGAAGTTCAGCTGGCAAATAAATAGAGATCCATCACAGGAACCAACAGCTGTTTTCTGTTGCCCATTGTATACTAGGCACTCCTGCTCTTTGTTTGTTTTTCCATGCTTCTATTCTTTATTATTGAAAACGACCGAGAAATATCAAAGAATAATACTTTTATGAAGGCACGTAACAATGCAATTGAAGTTGCACCCATTTAGATACATTATGTTTACATTCAAGCCCTCCAGATATTTTTGAGGTTCTGTATTTTAGTTAAATCCTCTTCTTCATGATAGAGGTTCAGATCTGATAATGTTCCAGCAGGCAGGTTGTCAGACAGAAATAATTAGCAGCAAATGGAGCCAGTCTACAAAAACCACAACAAAGCACTATAAAAAAAGGTTTTAAACATTCACAAGAGAGTACAACATCCTTATTTAATATCAGTTCCTCTTTTTTATTTTCAGACCTCATTGTGTCAGGGAAGTATGTTTCCTTTGGTATTTTTTTTTTTACGATTTCAGGAAACTATTAGCAAAACATTCCTCAATTGTATGCATGTCAAAACTGAAATTCATTTTTTACAGTATTGGAGTTGATTGAAGTACAAAAGTGCAATTCAGATGCATTCATAACCATGTTAAACAGGGTACTGAGAGGAAGAGAGAATATGTATATACTGTGTATATATATATATATATATATATATATATATATATGTGTATGTGGTGAGGGATAGGATGAGAAATTAGGTCTTCCTCTCACAAGATTGATACATTTGATTTCATGTAAAATATTTTGCTAGTCAACTACACCCCAAACTAAATGCATTCACATGATAGTCTTGGTGGTCAGGCGGAAAGTCTGACATGAAAATAATAAAATGTATTACACCACTGTGTTCTAGGCTAAGTAATTAGTATCTCACATTTAGGCCGATCTGTATTTGGAGAAAATTACAACAGTATGGATTAAGACACATTAAGGCATGTTGGGCATTCAGCAAAAATTGTTTTAATGGAATTTGGACAAACAGTTCTTTATGTGCACATACTAGACAACGATTAGTTGGGTTTCAAACTAGCCATTGAACAGTTGTGCTTTGTGTGATGACATACAGTATTTCTGACAAATTGATTGATAGACGTGACAGAGAAGGCTCTAACTAATTTAATGCACTAAGTTGTATATTGAATTCTTTCTCGAACTGTCTGGGCTGTAAATGTTTGCTCAGCATTCAGGGGCAATATTGATAAGTGTCTTCGTTATGGTAACACACTGCTGCACCACTCTGAAATATACATTTAGTGAAGGGGGATCTTCAATAATGTCAGCAGTGAATTTGCATCTATTTGTGATGGTGTCTCTGTCAAACCATCCTGCAAGGGAAGTCACTTGATAACCTTTATAGTTTTATGAATAGTGAAGCATTGAGTCTAAAGAGATTTAGATCTGTACAGTGAAATTTATGCTTTGGATCCTCAGGGGACCGTCTGAAGCAGGAGCGGCTTCCCCAAATATCAGGCAGCAAACCACCAGGAAACTTCAACACCCCGTTCCCACAGTTTAAGTGCCACATGGGAGGAAAGTCACAGGATATACTGAAAGACGAGCCCAAGAAGTATTCACTCAGGAAACCAGGCATGACATTGAAGGTACAATGTTTTTCATTGGCTGAGCTTGCATTAAAATGGCACAAAACAAAAACTTCAGGTCCCAGTTATATTTTGACAGCGGCACATTTTGGGATGCTGGACATGTTTAAAATGTTCTAACTTTAGATATAGTTTGGTTATCTATCACTGACAATGACAAATTTAAGACATCAGTGTGACTCTAGGGGTGGCTGTGGCTCAGTTTGTCTAGTCATTGTCTCTCAACCGGAAGGTCGTGGGTTTAATCCCCAGCTCCTGCAGCAACATGTCTAATTTGTCCTTGGGCAAGACACTTAATCTCAAATAATGTTTATTATTTCCATCTTAATAAATCCGCTGTCCTTAAACTGATGAGTTTCATTAAAAAAAACACATAGTATTTGTTGTCTGGTTTTTATTTCGGCATAAACAATAAAGACAATGCACAGAAATGGGAAGTCGTGTTAAGTGTACAGAGTCTAAAGCAGCAGATTCTTGTCCCAGGAATTTTTTTTTTTAAACAAATGAACATTTCTTAAACCTTTATTCACATTTTTGGCTGCTCCAGGGATGATGAATCAACCTTTTCAGGTGATATGGCTAACCTCCAAATCAAAAATGTTAACAGCTGCTTTACCATTTAATTGCGTATATATATTTCTGTGCATACGAGGCAGGACAAATGATGCTATGAAGGGACACTAAAGACTATCATTAGTCCACCTGTAGCAGTATTTCTCAGACAGCACTATTGATAGTACCTAGAGAACTGCAGGAGGTAATCTAGCTCATTTTCAAAATGTTAATTTAAACAAATATAAGTTGCAGTTTATTTTTTAAATAATTATACTATGCCCATTAAAACATGTAAGTTCATTAAAAAACATTTTATGTTGCACTGTAATCACACTGTGCACATGTTTTTTTTTTTTCTTGGTCAGTAGACAGTAATAACCTTCAGTCTGTAGCCAACAGCAGTGTTTTGTTTTGCAGCCTTTTCCCCAACTGTCTGTGATCAACTCTGAAGATGACAAACTAGTTGAAGACAAGAGAGCGGCCCCGGCTCCAGGCCCCTGTGCGGACTGCAGCCTCAGCAGCAAAAGCAATGCCATCCCCAGACACAGCTCTCAGCAAGTACAACTACAAGTCAGTTTAACTTACCACTTTTATTCAAAAAGATCAAACACACTAAGCAGACAGTACACATAATGATCTCGTTTCTTTTTTTGTGCCGACTCTTAGAGTGGATTCAGTAAGCAGCACTCTTTCCTGTATAAACGGACCGCCCTGCCTCTGACAGATGAGGAGAAGAGTATCTTCAACTTCCAAAAGTACACACCTGAGACAAAGGCACGTATAACAGACGTCCAGCCTTCATGGAACATCGTAGAAGCTAGAACCCACAAAAATTTGAGCTTGTACACTAAATAGGCTCAGAGGAATAACACCAGCATCTGGGCAATAATGTAGCAGTGAGCTCATTAAGTGCTTTGGGTTAACCTTCATAGAAAGTCATCACACCTCTGATGTTATCTGGATTCAATGTTTAACAAAATAAAGTAACTAAAGCAAGAAATCTCTTAATGTATACAAATAATATCAACAAAAGTCAGTCCGAATAGAAGAGCCCAAACAAATAATTAGAATCGCTAATATGACTTGTTCATATTGTCCAATCAGAATAGAGGAGGCAAAGTGTTAGAGTGACATGGGAGAGCTCAGTATGTTCTCTCAAGAGGGTGAGAGCAGACATAGGCTCTGTTCTCCAAGACCTCCCTGGCGATCTTCTTGATGTTGGCATCGTTGTTCTCAGGAGCGTCTGGAACAAATTGAGATGAGAATTACAAAACAAGCCGCCTTCGTTTGGTTAAATACAAAACACAACATTCTCATAAGTCTGGATCATGTCACCGGAAAGCCCTGCATTACATGTAGGTCATTAAAAAAGACACGCGCAGTGTGAAAATGAAAAGCAGCAGGGGGGTCTGGGTGTTGGTATGTGGTCTTGGTGGGGAAATTCCGCAACACATGCAAGTCTTTTGTACTTGAGATGCAGTAAAAAAAAATTGGCTGTTCTCAATTACTGTGATGTATTGTACTTACGTTTTTGCAACTGAGTCATCCAGTAGTTGTTCTTGAAGAAAGCTTCGCTGCAGAACGTGTTTGCGAGAAGTACCTAGAAAACAGACAGTCATTCATCAAACCATGAATTCAAACAGGCAAAAAAGAAGACTGAACAAGATGCAGGAGGCAGATTAAAGTGCAACATGTCAGAATTTAATCAAATGTGAAACGAGATTGAAAACATCGGTCTGTCCAAGTTTATCTGCTGACGTGGTGCAAAACATCACAACACAACAACTGAAAACGTTACACTCCATTCTAAAAATATCCCATATCTATTTAGAATAAAATCAGGTCAACACGTCTCCTCTTTGTCATGTAAATATTTCAAAATATACAATCCTCTACAGTCAGAGTGAGGCCTATTTAAAGCCACATTTGCTTTTAAAATTATTCACGTCCTTGAACCTTGTGTTCCTTTTTGATCCTCGGGGCAAAACCGTTAAGTCTTATAAAAGTCACAAATCTTTGGATGGTATTCAGTTGGACAGGATCCCTGCAGTCTGTGTGTGTTTTGCATAAACTACAAAAGGGTGGACCACTGCCTGTTTGTAGTCCGTTGTGCCTGTAGCTACAGTGGACTGCCCATCTGAAACACAGAGGAGAGTGTTGCCAAAGAGGATAACGCAAAGCATTCGCTGGCCTCTTTAATGTCTCTCTGTTGAGGGTTATTGCGCGGTGCTTTGTTCTACATCACTGTTTCTGATTACACACACGGCCACTTTGCAGTCCGTGTTTACGCTCTGCCGTCCTGTGTCCTCCTTCACCTCCGTCTGCTCTCATACAAACTCTACTCTCCACGAACATGCGTGACATTCTCAAGCTGCTTTAATGGCTTTCAGTAGACTAAAACTTGCTTTAGTAAGTGAAACCAGCCTCACCTTGTTGTTAAACAATGTGTGTTTAGTTAAGACCCAAACTTCACTGAATTTAGCAAAGACAGGATTTTCTATTAATACTTTGTTATTGAATGAAACCACTTAATGAACTGGTTTCTCTCATCAGCGTGACTGTAATGCATGTGTGATTCCACGAATAGAAGAGGCACTCCTTTAAACCCAACCACACAATTCAAGCAAATGATAAGAGGTTCTAATTATGAGGTACTTGTGACTTATTGTCAGTGTTATTTGAAGTAAATAGTAATAAATGGGCCAAATATTGCCCCCTACTACACTTGTGCTTTACTACCAATCAAATCCCCCCTGTGGAGAGTGAACAACTGAAGCCAGCTTGATGGCAGATGTGACTACTTGATAAAGCAGACTGATTTGATACCTCTTTACTGTCCTTCAAACTTTAAATGGGACTCCTTGATATTAACTTCAATGCAGAAACCAGGTAATGCTTTAATATTCAGAGAGGACAACATTTCTAAGCAGAAATGAGAAAAATTAACCTCAGCCATCCTTCCATACACGAAGTAGCCTTGTTGTTTCTTGCAAAGGCCTGAACTGAAGCTCTGGGAAGAACAATTTAAACATGAAGTCCCATGGGTCTGTTATTAAATTTTGAGATAATTAAGAATATTCAAACTGATAATTTAACTGCTGCTGTTGCCCTGCTAACCTGCATGTCCCACCAAATTGGCTGTGTATAAATGCTGGGAGCATAGTGTCAGTTTGAAGTTGTCTAAAATGAGAGGAAAAGTGTGGGCCGATCTGCTGCTGAATGGAAAACTGCTCTGAAGGGATGTTCATTGTTGACGTGATTTTGTAGCTAGACCAATAAATGGTTTAACTTTGAAAGCTAGACCGTTAATAACAAGACTGCAGTCTGTTCGATCGGTCTTCTCACCTCGTGGTCGTGATTCCTGAGGCCGATGCTGATGGAGCGGCTGGCTCTGGACAGGACAGCTGTCATGGCGTAGAGGTTGATCAGCACATCTGCTACCCTCTTCAGCATGAGCTGTTCATCCACTATGCTCTGAAAACGTCAGACGACAAACACACAGAAACTTCACTCGTCCTTGATTTCCAAGCCCAGAAATGAATTAAGTTAATTCTACTTAAGCGTGTCTCTGATATGCCATGGAATAATGGCACATTTGTGGTTGGTACCAAGAAGACTGCAGCTTTTTCCTACATCAGACACTCACTCTCTCGTCAGGAAACAGTTTAGATTTTGCTCTGAAGTTGTGATGAATGACTTCCTGTGTTTGAAGGTTTTTCAGTCTTAGACCATACAGACAGACACCATGATTAATACTCGGCTAATATGTGATACCTATGGTGTCTCAACTACGGGGGGGGGGGGGGGCAGGATGTCCTGGATGCCCTTCTGAGGCCTAAGATCAAACCTGACCTCTCGGTGGGAGGGGTTTGGAGTTTGGACTGTTCCAACATAAATAACTGCAAAGTGTGCCTGAATCACAAAGTTCAGAAACATTTTATAAAGCAAAAACAGGTAAGCCTCTGCTAGCAGCTTCAAGCTAATATTATAATGACAAATGGAAATTGAAAGGAATATTATTTAAAAATCTCTCTCTTCTGTCAGGGATTACAGAGCAGGAAACATGAGCAGGCAGATCGTTAGAATACAGACACCCAGTTTAAACTGTCAGTTATAATCTTCCATTATTATACAAGACATTTTTATCTTTATCTAGCGGATTGTTAGTCGACTGAAGTTTGTACTCCTGGCTTTGCCGTAAAGATTTAGATGAATTCACAGTAGATATTGACCGATATGATATTTTCTGGGGATATCAATATCGGGGAGAGAAAAAATACTTTATCGATTTATCGGCCGATATCTTTCTTAGATCTATGATATCTCTAGAGATAGATAGATTTAGATAAACACATTTATTGCGTTGATCCCTAACTTGTGGAAAAGCTATATAATGAAGACGAGATGGTCACTCAGCTGGGAAGTAACTGTGCATATACGTGCGTCACCACTCGACACTCTGGAGAGTGATGATGCTGCCCGCCCTCTGCTGGTGAAAAAGAACCACCCTCTTGCTCCCTATCCCTCTTTCCTGCATCTTATCCCATCTCTCCCCCTATCCCCTTCCAAGCCCGGCGCAGTCTAGGCTGTGAAGGCTGTTTCGTCATGAGCATCAGAAGATTTCTGCCTTTTAATAAGGCAGTTTTTTCTTACCACTGTAACTTTTGCTGCTTTGCTAAAGTGCTCATGATGGACAGGCTGGATCTTTGTAATATAGCAATAAGTAAGGTATAGTCACAGATGGTTGTTACAGATCCTTACTTCACACATATATTTGTTCTGCTTATGTGTGTCTAGCATGTCTGTTATTGTATTATACAGAGTGTTGCTTTCTTTTAAGAGGTCCTCTTTGCCTTTTTTTCCCCACAAACGTGGTCGGATTTTGCTGCTGGCTGGGAAAAAACTTTTTTTTTTTTTAAAGCAAAAGCTTGAATTGGCTGTGAATAGATCTGTCTGGGATCAGATTGTGATAGAACACTGATGTTAACATTAAACCCTGAATGTGATTCATATCACTCCAGCTAAAGGAACAGGAACTAAGCTGAAGTTGAGACATTAGGGGTAAGAAGTGGAAAGTTCAGGGCGATTATTTTATTCCAAAAAAAGTTGATTCTATGAAGTCAACATTACACTTTGTGTTACTATAATCAGGAAAAATCTGGAAGTCTTCTACTGTTAGCCTAAGAGCTATCAAACTACAACGTATTCAGTTTTTTTTAAAGATACATTTTTGGGCTTTTTATGCTTTTATTTGAACCCATGCTGCCCACTTTGAGGACTAAAGCCTCTGTATATGGGGCACGACACTAACCGCTAGGCTACCATCCCCCCCACTGAATTAAATTCTTACCGGCTTTTATCATTTGTGATTTGTGATGTTGAAATAAGTGCTTTGAACTTCAATGTTTAATGTGTTGTTTTAAAGCAGCTGAGGACTGCATGGTGAGGAAGGCCCTCTGAGGACACATCTCATGCTCTGATTCAGTGGATTTAAATGATACAGGAAGTGGAGACTTGGAAAGCTGATCTGTTTCCAAGGGATTCATAGCTTCTTTGGGAAGGCCGTGATTACAAAAAGCCCGGTCCAAGAAGAAAACAAGAACTCTTTGGAGCAGCTGTATGACAAACACTTAAGAGACACTGAAGATATGAACAGATCTCTACAACAGCTTGTTTATTCAGCCGTTCAAGAGAAATGGAAATGTTGTTCAAGGGTAAATGGAAACATTTAAGAAAATACATCCCAGGGTATTTTTTCCAGAGTGTAAAATCAATCAAATATTACCTTTCCGAATCTGTACAGCAGGCTCTCCACTGTGGATCCAAAAAGGCTGACATTCAGTTCCAACTTCTTTGCACTTTCCTTTAAACAGAAAACTCCTGAGTCTCCTCAAAACAACAAAATTGATTTAAAGCGTTGCACAAAATGTTTCATTTTAAAGTTCTTACTGCCAAGCTGGGGTGAACCACGCCATCTTTTCCCGTCAGGCCGAGGTCCACTGAACCCCCTAATGAGGTCCTCAGCTTCTGTCCCACC